TCCCTACTCAGTCGTAATTGTTCTAGCGAGACAAGCTTTCCAACCATTACACCGACCTGAGGTGCCCTACATGATTTTCTAAGCGTAGCTTAGATGTGGCACAAAGCCGAAAGAGTGGGGTACCCAGTGAGGACCGAACTCACTATTCAGTCCTAATTGTTCTAGTGAGAAGCTAGAACTATTAAGAGTGAATAGCGAAGCTTGTTAGCCATTACACCACCTCGACGTACCCCAAGACAAATAGATATAAATCGGAAAATAACAACAACATCTAATTGCGAAAGAAACCGAGCGAAACAAGTTGGTTGAAAAAAAATCAAATTAGAAAATTAAAAAATCATAAATAAAAAACTAAAGACGCCATATTATTTATTTTCCCTCTTCACGTCCTAATCTCGGCGTCATGTGATTTGTTCTGTGGGCATGCGTGGACCTGAACATAAGATGATGGCTTCCTAGTCGGAGCGAAAAGATAATATTCTTTTCACCAGACAAACAAAATCAAGCATCTCAAAGGGAAAACATTTGATGCGCTGAGTCAACTCCCTGATGTCAACAAAATAGGATCGAAAGTCAGACACATGCATATATACACACGCACACGTCAACACACACATATATATATATATTCACACACAAATAAATACACACACACACACAGACACACACACACACACACACACACACACACACACACACACATATATATATATATATATATATATATAATTATTTATTTAAAAATATGATTCCATCGCTACATAAGAGTTCTCGGGTTTCAAAACAAGAGCCGAAAACTTCAATATAATTATTTGAATTAAATTGAATTAAAGTACCAAGCTCTGTTCCATCTTCAAGCATTTTTTTTTTTTTTGGAATAACTAATTCCTGAAATTTATGCGTTTTAGAAGAATATTCATTATTAAAATTAAAATTACTATGGTAACGACTAGAGCAATTATTTAAAGAAAAGGTGTGTAAGGGTTAATAATTTGTATCAATATCTCAATATCTTACATTCAAAGAGGTCAAGTCAAGGTAAGGTTGGTGTGTCTAAATTTAAAGCGGAAGATGACATCGTCTAGTCTGGGTAAGTGTCTATGGAGATTTATTTACTTTTTTATTTTTATTTTTTTTCTGAAAGGGTTTTGTGTATATAAAAAAAAACTGTTATAATTCGCTAACATTATTATTTACCTAACGAGTTCTTTCTTATTTTCTATATATTTTATACACACACACACACACACATATATATATATATATATATATATATATATATATATATATATATATATATATATATATATATATATATATATATATATATATATATATATATATATATATATATATAAAGTCCTGACTCACTTAGGAAGCGGAAAGAAAGCAACAAAAATTTTAAGGAGGAATACCAACATTTATTCTTCAAAATAAAGTTCATTATTCTCGACGATTTTCTGCCAGAGATCATCCAGCGTCCAAATCTGTCACAGATACCCGTCCGCTGGCTTTGAATAAAATAAACTGTAAACAAGCTTCCTTCAATTCATCAATCGTGTTGAATCGCTGAACGCGGAGTAAGTGTGCCAATAAGTAAGCCACTCAGAGCAGCATCAGGACTGAATGGTGGATGTGGAAGAATCTCAACACCGTCCATCTCTTTGAACTTATCTTTAATCAACCTGGTAGTGTGTGACCTCGCATTATCTTACTAAAACAAAGGCCTGACTTCGACCAAAGCAGGATACTATTTGTCATACACGCGGTCTAGCTACTTGCAATACAGTTTAGCGTTGATGGCGTGACCGTGTGAAACAAACTCGAAATGCAATACTCTTTGGAAATACCACCAGACGGAGATCAAGATGTGTTTTTCTTTCCGCTACCTAAGTGATATATATATATATATATATATATATATATATATATATATATATATATATATATATATATATATACATATATGGGTAAAATAGCAGGACAGACTGGGTTCTATAGCCTTGGATGGCAACTGGTCTAGGAGAAGGACAACTCTGAATTCAAAACCTGCGGATGGTCGTTTGGGAACCTTGTGGCATTCGGTGAACCAGGTTTCTGTATTCGTCCCTCAAAAAGTGTGGCTGGTCCTGCACGAGGCCTTCACCAATATAATCAAATCTCATGTGCCGATGTCAGGATGTCGGTTTCCTGAAACTTATCGGCCTGACCCTCATACGTCGAACTCGACGGGAGAGTCGATTATATATATATATATATATATATATATATATATATATATATATATATATATATATATATATATATATATATATACTGAAGGTAGAATATATTTTAAAATATATATATAAAAAAAATAAATAAATAAATTTGGTGTGCGTTTAATTCTGTGCATTTATGTAATCTGGCGCGTGTACGGCTTGCTTGATTTGTTTATTTTTCATATACATTTTCAAAAACGTCGGTTTAAGAAGAAACCAAATTAACATATATTTCTTCCTACGCTGATTTATAGACACAAACGACCGTATAAAAAAATCATAGACACACCTACATATATAAGATATTTAGATTTCAACAGAGAGAAAATGAAATTTTGAAATTCGTATCGAGATATGTGTTTAACAAGTGAGAGTATCGAATTCGAAGATGTGAGAAAATGCCAACTCTTTAGAATTTGATGAAGAGTCGTCTGATTTATATCCGGAAGAAAGACTGCGCCATTTAAGTTTTCAGTTGATTAAAAGATTTTGCGTTCTAAATGGAATCATTTACGTATTAGTTACTTGGCAAGAGAGAGAGAGAGAGAGAGAGAGAGAAAGACGAAATGAGCTCCATTAGTAACTTTTTTTCTGAATTATTCTAGTGCCACTGGCTAAAGTTGATAATGAAATTCATATTGATATTTGGCCGGATTAGTCTACCTCCATGGTACTAGTGCCAGACAACTACTGTTGTCATGGTTTGTGAGATTAACCTGCAAGCCATTACTCAAGCACGCCCTGATAACATGAACTACAGTAAGGTTTTTATCCATTCGTTCATTAACACTTGCATTAACACTAGGCTATTTGTAATTAAGTTTTCATTATTGACAATGCACAGTACAGAGGCTAAATGTTGAAAATCGCTAAGATAATTTTTGGTATCTGTCTATATTTCTGAGGTATTGTAACTATTTGCATTATTTATATTATTTACATTGTTATTATCCTCACCTTCATTGTCATATTCACGAGAATTCGGTCGTTGTACACGCGGGCCTTCTTCGAAATTCCAACGTATAAGGCCGGAGCGTAAAACGGTCAAAACGTCGTGAAGATGGGAACAATAGTCAGAACAATGTAAATAAATAGTGTAAACTGAAACGTTTTTAGGTTAAAAAAGCTGAAAATGCAAGACTCGATGTTTAAAATTTCCCCTTCTCGCAGAAATATTAATTTGGTTGACTGACTAAGGCTAACGAAACACTTGAGTAACTCTATTTTCAGTGAGTAGAGGTGACAATAGCTAAAATTTTGCCTACGTATCTTTTGTGTGTGCTGTGTCTCTTTTAGTCTTGGGCGACCTTGGCGCTCCACACCTTCCTATCATCTGTAGCTCTTAGCTATATTTATCTTTTTACTTTCCTTCCCACTCTTTGTTCTGTCATCCATTGACACAAACTTGTTAGGTAGATTAATCGATGTTTCCTTTGCCATCAATGTCCTGTGTGTGTTAAATTCTCCAAGCCCTTTTTCCTCGTTTCTTTCTGGTTCTAAGTACAAAGTGTCGTTTTTGTTTTCGAGAGGGACAGAGGCAAACAATGCATAATAACTCTGTGTAATTAAATGACAGAGCAGGAATTGGGATCGATTGATTTATTGATTGATTTCTTTTTACGGTTTATCAGCCCCTTGTGGCTATTTAAAGCCGAAACACATTCTTGATTGCGCGAATAATTCTTTTTGGGGGAGAGGGTGAATATTGCATTAACAATTTTTTGAAAATAATAATGTTTTTTTCAGATACAAGTTCTACTATTTAACCCATAGCTAGGGGATGTGGTGGATTCATGTTCCATGTATGTAAGGTATATGCGCGTAAGTAAATGTAACAAACCAGACTGGAATTATTCTACCGGAATAAAAATGGAAAATATTGCTTAGAGCTGCAAAGAATAGGAAGTCATGGAGAGCCATTACTACCTACATCCTGAAGGGATGAAGAATTAGTTGAACAATGAACCTTGTATAAATCAGTACCATCGCTGTACCACTGAACATATAATCTGAACTCCTTTCCCAATTTATTGTCCCTAAGTAAACGTAAAACCTTACATTCTTTAGTCCTTTTCACTAACCATCGAGCTAACATTAATGATTTTCTTTTTGCTGTTGATGTATTGTCCTTTATTGGCTAGAGTTTCTATTTCTATCTATCATTTTGCAATTGAATTAGATCCGGCTGTGATAAGTCGACACACAATTGATTCAAGCGTACCATACATTCTCGTGGAGAGCAAGGCTAGAGAAAGGGAACGTAAGGATGAGAAAGGAGAGAAGGGCGTTTTCAACTCGTGTGTCTGTTCAGCCGTGAGCGGTCCGAATAAAGCCCAGACTTCGACCCGAACCCTCAACTCTAATACCTAACTTGAACCTAAGAAATCCAGGAAAACATACCGGTCACAACCTTAACCGTGACACCCATTCTGTCGACGCTAAGCTCTCAAACTACCAAACAGGGTGCTGCTTTACACAGGCCTTTGCTTCGGCTGCGCCTGTACGCATGACTGGTTAAAATTTTCGCCCTACACGCTTACTACAACGTTGAACCTGCATCCAAGATTTCCTGGACCGACCTTTTTTCTTACTCTCCTTCTATCACTTCCGCTGACCATTATAGCGCTTCGCTAACGCCGTCTGCAGCATGAATGATTCGGTGCCAATATCTGCGTGGCCCCCAGGTAAAAACTGTCTACATTGAGAAATGCTGAAAAGTAGGCACTCTTCTACTGAAGAAGTAGCTATTTCACGAACAAATGCTTTACCAAACCTTCTCTTTTTTTCTTTCTTTGATTTATTTTTTCTACCGTTCTTCCTCTTTTCGCGGTTATTTTTATGCCATGTTATTTCACCTTACAGATCCCGTTTATTCTTTGTCCTTTTACTCTTTCACTTTATCGTTCATTATTTTTCTACTACTGTATTAAACCTGTTTATTCTTCTTAACACTTCTGTTTTCCTCTTCTTATTCTCTAATTATTCCTTTTCAATCTCTATTGTTCTTTTCTTTCTTTTTTTTTTTTTCACATTTTCTTCTACTCTCTCATTTGTCCTCTCTTTCCTAGATTATCCCGCCTCTTGTTTCTTGCCTTTCTTCCTCTCAACTGCATTTTTTTCTACATCATTTTTGTCTCTATATAATCTCTTTATCTCTTTATTATTTTCATGATTTACGTCCTCTTCAGTTGTCATGTCGCTGCTTCTCCTCTTCTTTCTCTTCCCAAACATTGAATTCGTGATTTTCTAAGCGTAGCTTAAATGTGGCACAAGGCCAAAAGTAGGGGACACCCAAGGATGATCGAACTCACTATTCAGTTGTAATTGATCTAGCGAGGCGAGCTTGCTAACGATTACACTGCGTCGAAGTCTCTAAATGATTTTCTAAGCGTAGCTTAGATGTGTCACTAGGTCGAAAGTAAGGGACACCAAGTGAGGATCGAACACACTAGTTTGAGAGCTAGCCATTACACCACGTCGAAGTGCCCCTTCCCAAATATTGGATTGAGTGATAAATAATTTCTGTTTTTGATTGTCTTGACAACTCTATTTTTCAAAAAGTAAACTACAGTTATATTTTATCCAATCATACATTCACAATTTTAAATGAGCTGTTGCCAATTTTCAGACAGATCTTTTATACCTGTTGGGTAATTTTCCGCAGGTTTTTATGTGAATGTTTTTTGGCAAACTCTTGAATTAGATAGACTCCCGCGTCAAGGTGTTTTGCAGCCTATCGACAAAGGTAATAATCGGTTGGTGTAAGGTAAAGCAAAAAATATCGTTGGTGGAGTAGAACAGACCAACCGAGTTCCAAACTGTTTTCCTGTGTTATTCTTGTTATATTCGGTCTTCCGTTGTCGTGGAGGAAGAGAACAACAAAGCATAATCCTTAAGTGAACAATAATATTCATAGAATGATGGATTCGCTATAACCTCCCACGAACGCAGGTGTTCCTCAAGGCTCCATCCTAGGCCCCACTCTATTCCTTATCTACATAAATGACCTTCCTGACACCATAACTTCCCAAGTTGGCATCTACGCGGATGACACCACAATTTATTCCTGCCTCAAAAACAAATCTAGTCTCGCTGACAAAACTCACCTGGCCGTGCGTCTCGAAAAGGACCTCCAATCGATTGTGAACTGGAGCATGATTTGGCTGGTCAACTTCAACGCTTCTAAGACAAAACTGCTCTCTATTAATCACCACAGAGATCCTCCATTAGAATGTCTGACGCTCAACTTCTCGAGAGCAACTCTCTGCGGCTTCTCGGTCTCACGTTGGCTGCTGACCTGAGATGGAATAAATACATCGAGTCAATTGCCTCGTCCATCGCAGGGAAAGTTGGCTCCCTGAGCCGCGCCAGGAAGTTTTTCTCCCCGGAGTCGATCCTCCAGATCTACAAATCCACAATTCGCCCTTGCATGGAGTATTGCTGCTATATATGGTCTGGTGCCCTTTCTGTTTGCCTCAGAGTTCTTGATAGGCTCCAGAGGCGGATATGCAATGTAGTTAGCCCTGCCCTGGCGTCTCGTCTACAGTCACTTTCTCACAGACGCGCCGTCGCCTCCCTCTGTCTGTTCTACAAATACTTTCATGGAAATTGCCCCGAGGAGCTGCATTCACTGGTTCCCAGACGTCATGAGTTCCAGCGCCCTACGAGGCTGGCATCCCGCTCTCACCCCTTCACTGTCGAAACTCCTAAATGTAGCCGTCTCTTCTACTCTAATTGCTTCATATTTCGCACCTCTCGCCTGTGGAACTCCCTTCCCTATTCCTGTTTCCCTGTGAGCTATAATCTCCAGCTATTCAAGTGTAATGTCAATCGACATCTCCAGTTGCCTTGATCTATCCACTACCCTCATCCTTTCTTCTATCACTTCTATCTGATCTTGCTCTAAATTTTCTGTAACCCCTTGCGTCCTAGTGGCTTCCCGCCTTGCTTGGGATGAAATATTTAAAAAAAAAACTCCGGCATAAACAGCTGAAGAAACCAAGCATTAGAAATAAGATACTACAGAACCATTGTTTACGTCTTCATCACAAACGACGCAAACATACAGGAAGACCTTTATAATTACCATCAAGAAGAGAAATGGGATTGCCACACGTCATAAGAGATGACAATCGTTTCCCTACCATCTTAGGTAAACGAAGAGGGAGACAGAGTGGGGGGGGGAATGAATGGACTGAAAAATCATTCACAGAAAGTCAGATATTGGCGCGCAATCGAGACGTATTTCGGGTGTTAGTCAAGTGCTCAGAGACCCTTCGACCACACCTGGACATAGAACCGAAGATGATGAAGAGGATGATGAGTGACTTTGCGAGAACATCGTACTAGTGACTGGTACACTGACCAAAAATCTGACCATATGACCTAATACCAAATTGTTTTTAATACCTATGCATGGAAATTTCCGATGCCTCTTCCTAATCTTAAAATTTACTAGACTAACTTTGACCCGTTGGGTAACTGACGATCCAGGTTATAAAACATTGAAGTTGATTTCAACATTAGAAAACGTCTATTTCAAGAAAGTTGAAATAAAAAATACTTACTGTATAAACAATTCTTATTTTAAATTTTATCCACTTAAAATATGTTTTTTTAAATCAGATTAACTTTAAAATATTTTTAATATGCCAAAAAGTATTTTAAAATCATATTCACTTGAAAATATTTTTTAAAAATGGCAAAAAAACTTTTTTAAATATTTAAAATATTGTTTGTTTAAATAAAGCTGAAATATTAATAAACACGAACACAATCACAGAGAGGTGGAAAGAGAGAGGTGGAAAAAGAGAGGTGGAAAGAGAGAGGTGGAAAAAGAGAGGTGGAAAGAGAGAGGTGGAAAGAGCGAGGTGGAAAAATAGAGGTGGAAAAAGAGAGGTGGAAAGAGAGAGGTGGAAAGAGAGAGGTGGAATAAGAGAGGTGGAAAAAGAGAGGTGGAAAGAGAGAGGTGGAAAAAGAGAGGTGGAAAGAGAGAGGTGGAAAAAGAGAGGTGGAAAGAGAGAGGTGGAAAGAGAGAGGTGGAAAAAGAGAGGTTGAAAAAGAGAGGTGGAAAGAGAGATGTGGAAAAATAGAGGTGGAAAAAGAGAGGTGGAAAGAGAGAGGTGGAATAAGAGAGGTGGAAAAAGAGAGGTGGAAAGAGAGAGGTGGAATAAGAGAGGTGGAAAAAGAGAGGTGGAAAGAGAGAGGTGGAAAGGAAAAGATGGAAAGAAACTTAAAGCATTATGCGCCTGACGGACGACGTACGCACGATTCACAAACTTTTAATATTATAGATAATATGTCACATTTTCAAAATAAATTATCAAAAATACCAACCTTACTTACTTCCCTTTATACATAATTTGCTCCTTAGCTGTGTTCTAAATGCTAAGTTTGTTTCAGTATTTAAGGAATAAAATTGTACTATTTGAACAGCTAAGGAACTTTATTATGAAAGCCATCTGCAAAACAATCTTTTATTAATAAGGATGACAAAAGAAAAAATTGGAAATAACAATACACTTCTTTTCACAAATTTGATTTTCAAAATAATCTCACTTCATACCTGAGAGAAGTTAGCGTTTAGCTTTTCTCAAGTTGAAATCTATACAGCTGTATTTCACATGATAAACTACGGCTGTCGATTAATCTATAAAGAGAACTAAATATTAGTCAAGTTTGATCCGTACTCTGTTGTCGTAGTTATGTATATTTATTTTAGCTAGAGATTTCTCTTTCGCGTTTTATTTTTTATTTTGGTTGGTTCAAAATCAGAGTGAGATCAAGCGAGTAGACTATCAACGATTTTGCTGATTCTCTTTCCTACTGTTTTTCCTATAAAGATTTTTCGCCTCACAATTGTTTCATAAGATGAGACGTTATCTTTGAACATGTTTTCTTTTCACATTCTTCCAGAATAAAAAACAATAAGGTAAAACGTACAGCTCGCGATCAACGGTTGGTTGTGTGTCTTGCCGAAGAAAAATAGATCAGATAAACTGAACAAGTTGCAATTTTTATCTTACGCAACAGAACCAGATCAATTTGAAAACAAAGAAATTGAATTTTTATTTTCTTTTGTACAAGTTCTTTTTCTTTTACTTCTTCTTTTTTTGTGGGTGGGGGTGGGGGGGGTATGTTGGGGTCGGGGAGATGGAATTGCATTCTTTTGACATCATTTCAGTTTATCAATGAATATTGACAGACTTTTTTCACTGCACATATTGAACGGGATTTTTGCATAGAAAAAGTGTGATCTCATATCAATATATTTGCATATAACTGTCTGCATAGATACTCTCCCCCCCACCCACCCCCCACCACACACACACAACGCACGCACACATATATATACTAATATTCATAAACACAAACACGCAGTGAATCAATTTCCTGATTCTCAGTGAGTACTCAATAAATATGGCCTTGTGACAACATTAATTCCATGCAATAATTCTAATAGCTGTTTAGTCAACTTGACCAAAGCACAAATTCGCAATAGTACGCCATTCAGTTAGTAAGCCATGAAACTAGAACTACTAAATTTAGTATTTTACAACACAAGACTACAATAGTGGAATGCAAAATGAGGATTGTTTAGCATTTATAAAAAAATAATTCATGCTCCTATGTTTAGAGTTGTAAACTATATTTACATAATGGTGATATTTAAGGAAAGGAAATATGTTGTATGATCCTGGGCACGTATCTTCTCTTTCCTTCCTGTAGAAGGGATTAACTAAAAATATCATCAGCAAAACGAAAAATTAATTCAAATAGACCAAAAAAACCTGCAATTGAAAATAAAACTCATCATTAATTTATACAAGATGGTCAAAAAGAAATTAAATTCATTCACTGTACCAAGAAACTAACTTAAGTCACATACAGAATAATCTATAAATGTTCATATATTTCCAAACAAGATATATATAACATTAATAACGCAACCGTTTCTTTTTAATAAATAGATTTTTAAACAAAATAATATCTGCCCAAACACATTGAAAATAAAATCTACCATAAGATTAAATGCTACACTGGATCATTTATAGTCAGTCCTTTGTATTTGGCACAAGGACGAAAATATTAAGCACCCAATTAGGATTGAGTTCATTATTCATTCGTAATTGCTTTAGCGAGACAAGCTTGCTAACCATTAAACCATGTCGAATTGAACCTGTTGAATTAGATTTAACGTTCATTTCGTTTGAAAGTAGTTTGTTTTAATTTTAAAAAAGCAATCGAGGCAGATTTTCTTTATTAAGCCCTTCGATCAACTCGGCAACTAGACATTAATTTTAGTGTTTAAAAAGCAGGGATGTCTACGAAAACATAGAAATAACGTTTATAGCAATAAGAAATAATGTCGGATTTAGAACTAAATCGTGGACAGAACGATTACAAAAGGGTTCGTCTACGGAACTCTGAAGTCAGAGTGCTGAATATAACATCAATCAGTGAAGTGACACATTTTCCATTTGCATCCTACACACACACACACATATATATATATATATATATATATATATATATATATATATATATATATATATATATATATATATATATATATATATATATATATATATATATATATATATATATATATATATATATATATATATATATATATATATATTATTTAAAACTTGCTGCATTTACAAAAATAGAGGTTTTATATTTGTATTAATTATCGCTTTCTCTCTCTCTCTCTCTCTCTATATATATATATATATATATATATATATATATATATAGATAGATAGATAGATAGATAGATAGATAGATAGATATATACATGAATTAATGGAACTATTTTTAAATATATCTTTGTGAGTATGTGTGTGTATGTTTTTTTCGTATGAATGTGTTTGTGCGTGCCAGTGTGTACACACTCATGCGTGCTACAAAGTTAATTGGATGATGACGATATTGAAAGTAGTTTGACGACATATTTTCATTTTTCGCGAAAAGGGAGTTAACTCCTGGACAATTCAAAGACTGATAATGTAAGAAAACTGTTGCAGTTGCCTTTCTTCTCTTCGTTATTGCCTTTCGAAGATTTATTAACAGATATGTACAGGTGTCGCCAAGAATTATCTGCAGGATTGATCTTGAGGTTTAATCAACTATTTTCAGCGAAAAACAAGGGGAAAATAGCAAACAGAATAAACCGGCTTCCTGGTAAGGCGGCAACAAATTACCGTTCTCAAGAGATTAGCCATTCCTTTTGCATTTTTAAAATTATTCGACACGAGAGCAGTCGATGTCAAATGTGTAAAAATCTCTTTCGGAAATCAAGAGATGTCATGTGTTCTACAAAATGTTGACACATTTTAACATCTCCACCCACCACCATTACACGAAATGTTCAAATCTATCCCAAAGGACCAAGGATTATCCAATGGCATGGATCAACCAATTCAAATTAGCTGAATAATGCGGTTCATAGTAGGAATTGCGAACACGAGTACTGATCCATGGAATCAATGAAAAAAGCACTAAACCAGGGGAAAGTATTGAACTATGGAATTACTTGAAATGGCATCAATTTAAAAACTACTGACACACTGAATCACTTGAAAAATACTGAACCATGGAATCAATTGGAAAAGGACTGAACCATGGAATTAGCAGAAAAAGACTGAACTATGGAAGCAATTGAAAAAGGACTGAACCATGGAATTAACGGAAAAATGACTAAACTTTGGAAGCAACTGAAAAAGAATGAAACATGAAAGTAACTGAAAAAAGACTGAACTATGGAATCAATTGCAAAAATACTGGTCCATGGAATCAATTGCAAAAGAAAAGATCCATGGAAGTAATTGAAAAAATTACTGATCAATGGACTCAAGCGAGAAGTATTGATCAATGGAATCAATTGAAAACTACTGATCAATGGAATCAATTAAAAAAAACTACTGATTCATGGAAGCAATTGAAAAAGTACTGAACCATGGAGTAATTGTAAAAAGACTGAACCACGGAAGCAATTGTAAAAGGACTGAACCACGGAAGCAATTGAAAAAGGACTGAGCCACGGAAGCAATTGAAAAAGGACTGAGCCACGGAAGCAATTGAAAAAGGACTGAACCATGGAAGAAATTGAAAAAGGACTGAGCCACGGAAACAATTGAAAAAGGACTGAACCATGGAAGAAATTGAAAAAGGACTGAACCACGGAAGCAATTGAAAAAGGACTGAACCGTGGAAGCAATTGAAAAAGGATTGAAACTTGAAATGAATTGAAAAGTACTGAATCATGGAATCAATTGTAAAAGGACTGAACCATGGAAGTAACTTAAAAAGGACCGAACCATGGAATCAGTTGAAAAACAACCGAGCTTGAATTCCTGTAGTTTTCGGCTACGAAGCCTGACTAATATGACAAAGTCTGGCTGACCACTTAAAGAAGACTTCTTTTTCTCATGGTAGTTTCTACGGATTTATATCTGCTATATTCAGTTTCGTAAACGAGACGTAAACAGCAGTAATTTTTGAAAGGATTTTTTATCCGACATTATTTCTTATTTCGACATTATTTCATTATTTCTTATGGCTATAAGCGTGTTTCATTTATAACCCCTTTTTTATTAAAAATCATTTCAAGAAAATTACTGTTGTCTATGTTTCGGGCACAAAATAGACGCTGACAGATATAAATTCGTAGAAGCTTCAACGAAAAAACATGTCTTATTTAACAGGTTATTCTGAATATATCACATCTGTCAGTCTCCATGACCCAACTGACAAAAGCACTCTTCAGCTTAACAAATGGCTTCCCTAAAGTAAGAAATAGTTGCGAGTTCGATTCCTGTAAGAGGAGGATTTTTTCTTTAGTAGGACTACTCATTTTAGGCGGATTAAAGTCTTTATATCATATTTCTCTCTCTCTCTCTCTCTCTCTCTCTCTCTCTCTGACACACATACAAACACACACATATATATATAAGGAAATGGATGTATTATTTTTATTGATGAATCCGATACACACACTCACACACACACACACACATACTGTGTAATAAATAAACGAAGCGTCTACTCAACTAAGGGTATCCACTAAAAAAAGGTTTAAATAATATATATATATATATATATATATATATATATATATATAAGACTTTGTATCTTTCTGTTTTTGTACAGTGTGATTTTATGTGATATCTTCGTTTTTTCCTGAATGCATTTGCTGACATAAAGGACCAGATTCTTTAAGTGTATATTTGACTGTGTATGAACATGTGTCATCCTAGACTTATTGGATTGTTTTAGTGTACAATCTCTAAATTTATAGGCAAAAACTAAGCGATTTGTACGATATGAATATGTATTTATTTATAATTTAATCAGCGTCAAACGTTATTTCTCGAATTTCTTGTTGATTGCTCAATGGACAGATAACCTAATAACCAATAAACTTGAAACGTTCTAGACTGTATAAAACTGCGTAACCAACGAGAATTGGCGATAAACTTTACTGTAGATGGGTCCTGTAATTTTGAGTAAAGCCATTATCTCTCCAAGAGTTATTCCTTCTAGTGTATACATCTCTCTCTCTCTCTCTCTCTCTCTCTCTCTCTCTCTCTCTCTCTCTCTCTCTCTTTCTCTTGCAGTATTCTACCAATTTCTTCAGGTTTATTTTCCATATTGTGGGTGACGTTTTTATCTTTAGAAAACCTGCCAAGAATGGAACTACTTGTATCGCACGCGTTACTCGGAAAGGGATGACCCGGATCAATCAGTATGTTTACTACGGTTCCTTAAAATAAGAAAATAGATGCGTTCTGTAATTTTGAGTAGAGCTATTATCTCTCCAAGAGTTATTCCTTCTAGTGTACTCATCTCTCTCTCTCTCTCTCTCTCTCTCTCTCACTCTCTCTCTCTCTCTCTCTGCAGTATTCTACCAATTTCTTCAGATTTATTTTCCATACAGTGGGTGACTTTTTTATCTTTAGAAAACCTGCCGACAATGGAACTCCTTGTATCACACGCGTTACTCGGAAAGGGATGACCTGGATCATTCAGTGTGTTTACTACGGTTCCTTAAAATAAGAAAACTATATCCCTCACTTTTCTTACGCGAAGAAGGTTGTAGAATGGATTGCCTGAAATGCGACAACAACAAGTGCTCTCCAGTTGACTGAATATAGCTTACAAAATATATTCCATTTTTTCAGAATGCGGTATCAGCTGCTTAGAAAAGTAACATAAACAAAGCGGAATGTTAAATTTTTAGCTAGATATCATCTTTTATACCGTTTCTGTTTACCTGGCATTTTATTCTTAAGGCAACATTTTCAAAATTCTGAAAACTTTATTTCTTTTTAAAGAATTCTCGCTGCCAAACAGAAACACCCACGCAGAGGAAGTGAACTCTAACAGATATGTGTGTACGTATAATATTTACCAATACGAACCTATCGTCTCGTATACCATCTGGTTGATATTAGTCACCGATAGTTTATAAAGGTTAAACACAATTCTTCGAACCTACTAAATAGGTGACTGTATGAAGACTTATGCATGTAAAGAATAAAAAAAACATATAAAATCGGCATTTCTCTTTGAAGTCATCCAGCCTTTTGACACTTCTTGGATATGAAGAGACTCTCTGTTTGAACAAATTTTATTGATACGGTATCTCTCCAAGACCAGTCTTTACTGAAAAATATTTTCTCTTAAGGGGAAGTAACTCTCGATGAAGCTGAAAAATGAAAAAAAGAAAACAATTTTATTAATTTATATCTCAATTGGGAATCTGTTTTAATAACGTGGTGGTCGATCTCGCAAAACTTTAACAGTGAAATCAGTTTTTAGTAAATATAGTACCATAGCTCCGAGTATATCAAAAAATGTTCTGAATAAATATACACGCATGGAAAAATGGAGCTTGCCAACGTTCCACGGAACGGTCAACATGTAATCTAAATTCGTTTTATACCTGTTTTCAACACGCGTTACTACGGCATTCTGTAGAGTAGTGTTTCCCTGAGTAGTTTCATCTTTCTCCCTTTCGATCCCATGTGTCCTCAGTTCACTCTTTGAAATATTATCTAATATATATATATATATATATATATATATATATATATATATATATATATATATATATTTGCCATTATACTTTCCAAGCGATAATTACTGAAACAATTCATGAAGCCAAATGGCATTGTTAATTATAATGAATTGAGAAAAAAAAAAATAAATACACATTTCAGTGGATCATAAAACGGAGGTGTGGTAAGATTTAAGAAAGCTTTATTGAGCTTAAATGTGGAGACACAGTTAGACCGCTTATTTATATATATATATATATATATATATATATATATATAGTGAGGGAGAGTTCTTCTTTCAAGGGAGACAATCGTCATCAAGAAAGGTAACTTCTTGTGGTTTATACCACAGATAGAACCAAAGAAAGTCATAGAAGCGGACCAAAACGGGTGGCAAAGAATCAATTGCTTGACCTCCTGCTAGGAAATTTGAATTACTGAGTCGACCAGAAAATTGTTCTCGTCAGAAATCACCTTGCAAATATACAAATCTACTATTCGTCCGTTCATTGAATATTGCTGTTATATCTGGCCTGGTTCTCCATGCTATATATCTTGCGATTTTTAACAAAATCCAAAGAAGAGTCTGTAACGTTGTCCATCCTAATCATGCATCTAGGCTTTCAGTCACTAACCGTGCCAAAGATTTACATGGTAATTGTTCTGATGAGTTTTCTTCCTTGATGATTGGAAGACATGAATTTAAGCATACTACCAGTTTGGCAACTAGAATTTACCGTTTTAATGTTGAACTAGATAGATGCAACCGTCAGTTCTATTCTGATAGTTTCTTTTCCGAAATTCTTACCTATAGAAGGATCTTCCGATTTTTTTCTTCCCTGCCACCTACAATCTTTAAAAAATTTAAATGCAGCGCCAGTCGCCATCTTCTGTCTTTTCGGACACTGTTTTTTTTATTGTCCTTTCTCCTCACTTCTCCACGCTAAAATTTTCTCATTTTCTTTCATGTCTTGTAACCCTTTGCGTCTTAGTGGCTTTAATGCCTTGCTTGGGGTGAAATGTTTTAAATAAAAGTGTAGCATAAAAACTGAAATTAGGAAAAAACAACAGGAAAAAAAAGAAGTACCCGCTCTACGATGAACATCAAACCCATACGTTTCTGGGATGTGATCAATCGTCTATCATATCAGCTGCGGTGGAGTGTAATTGGGAATGATCATTTCGATCACTGCATAGTATGGGCTTCGAAAGGAGTGCATTTTTTTTAATTCAGTGTTTTATTTTTTTCTAGAGCAGGCATGTCAAACTTAGGGCATATGGAGGGCCGCATCAGCCATATTTGCAGCCTCGATGGCCGCAGCTGGTTACATTCTTACAATAATCACAGCTTGTGGTAACTAAATTTTAAATACAAAATACTTACAATACAAGGTAGTACAATTTAAACATTTTTATGGAGTTCTGATGATTAACATCGATTTAGACAAACTATATATCAGGTTGGAATATCTGTGTAGATCCCACTTTGATCAAAGATGATAAATGTTCATTAGTTAATCAGGATCCGTGAGACGTTTTGTGGCCTTCATAAACGAAAATAACTGCTCACCAACAGATGTGGAACCAAACATCCCCATAATCCTTGTGGTAAACTTTCTGAAGTTCTGAAGTTCTTAAATGTCTGAGGAAGTTATGAAAAAAATCCGGGTACCCCTACTTCTCGATACTTACCCTTGAGTGTTGAGTCAGTCTGCATTTCCAGTAGTTCCATCTGTAGACTTTTCTCTGCCTGAGTATCATCAAAAGTGAATGGTACTGAGAATAATGCAAACTGATCTTCACAAGATGAAAAATCACAAAATCTTAATTGAAATTCCTTTGACAGAAATTCCAGGTAATTGTCGTACTTAGCGAAGATAAATACCGACTCAGTATTGCCAGTCTTTTCAACTTCTTGAACATAGAAAAATGTGACAACTTGGATTTCAATAAAGCTAATTTTTCAATGAAACACTTGATATCATCATATAACTGAGATGAGTTTATTTTTACCTTATAATTTCAAATTACGGCCACTTACGTGGGCAGTAATATCCACCGAAAAAGCTAGATCTTGGAATCAGCTTTCATCTTTCAATTCATCTATGCTTTGACATTTCATCTCCAAAAACATAATTTCGTGTCGCAATAAAAAAAAATCTTTTTAGTACCTTG